AAAGAAAAGGAGTACTTGTGGCACCTTAGAGACTAACCAATTTATTTGACCATGAGCTTTCGTGAGCTACAGCTCACTTCATCAGATGTATACCGTGGAAACTGCAGCAGACTTTATATACACACAGAGAATATGAAACAATACCTCCTCCCACTCCACTGTCCTGCTGGTAATAGCTTATCTAAAGTGATCAACAGGTGGGCCATTATTTTCGACGTCTCCGTCTCAAGGAATATTTCCAAAATACCTCTGAACAACATACTAATCCACAGAGGTCTCCCTGCCAACACTACAGAAAGAGGGATTCTAGATGGACTCCTCCTGAAGGTCGAAACAGCAGACTGGACTTCTACATAGAGTGCTTCCGCCGACGTGCACGGGCTGAAATTGTGGAAAAGCAGCATCACTTGCCCCATAACCTCAGCCATGCGGAACGCAATGCCATCCACAGCCTCAGAAACAACTCTGACATCATAATCAAAAAGGCTGACAAAGGAGGTGCTGTTGTCATCATGAATAGGTCGGAATATGAACAAGAGGCTGCTCGGCAGCTCTCCAACACGAGTTTCTACAAGCCATTACCCTATGATCCCACTGAGAGTTACCAAAAGCAACTACAGCATTTGCTCAAGAAACTTCCTGAAAAAGCACAAGATCAAATCCGCACAGACACACCCCTGGAACCCCGACCTGGGATATTCTATCTACTACCCAAGATCCATAAACCTGGAAATCCTGGGTGCCCCATCATCTCAGGCATTGGCACCCTGACAGCAGGATTGTCTGGCTATGTAGACTCCCTCCTCAGGCCCTACGCTACCAGCACTCCCAGCTACCTTCGAGACACCACTGACTTCCTGAGGAAACTTCAATCCATCGGTGATCTTCCTGATAACACCATCCTGGCTACTATGGATGTAGAAGCCCTCTACACCAACATTCCACACAAAGATGGACTACAAGCCGTCAAGAACACGATCCCCGATAATGTCACGGCTAACCTGGTGGCTGAACTTTGTGACTTTGTCCTTACCCATAACTATTTCACATTTGGGGACAATGTATACCTTCAGATCAGCGGCACTGCTATGGGTACCTGCATGGCCCCACAGTATGCCAACATTTTTATGGCTGATTTAGAACAACGCTTCCTCAGCTCTCGTCCCCTAAAGCCCCTGCTCTACTTGCGCTATATTGATGACATCTTCATCATCTGGACCCATGGAAAAGAAGTCCTTGAGGAATTCCACCATGATTTCAACAATTTCCATCCCACCACCAACCTCAGCCTGGTCCAGTCCACACAAGAGATCCACTTCCTGGACACTACAGTGCTAATAAACAATGGCCACATAAACACCACCCTATACCAGAAACCTACTGACCACTATTCCTACCTGCATGCCTCCAGCTTTCACCCTGACCATACCACACAATCCATCGTCTACAGCCAAGCTCTGCGATACAACCGCATTTGCTCCAACCCCTCAGACAGAGACAAACACCTACAAGATCTCTGTCAAGCTTTCTTACAACTACAATACCCACCTGCAGAAGTAAAGAAACAGATTGATAGAGCCAGAAGAGTTCCCAGAAGTTACCTACTACAGGACAGGCCTAACAAAGAAAATAACAGAACGCCACTAGCGGTCACCTTCAGCCCCCAACTAAAACCCCTCCAACGCATTATTAAGGATCTACAACCTATCCTAAAGGATGACCCAACACTCTCACAAGTCTTGGGAGACAGGCCAGTCCTTGCCTACAGACAGCCCCGCAACCTGAAGCAAATACTCACCAACAACCACATACCACACAACAGAACCACTAACCCAGGAACTTATCCTTGCAACAAAGCCCGTTGCCAATTGTGCCCACATATCTATTCAGGGGACACCATCACAGGGCCTAATAACATCAGCCACACTATCAGAGGCTCGTTCACCTGCACATCCACCAATGTGATATATGCCATCATGTGCCAGCAATGCCCCTCTGCCATGTACATTGGTCAAACTGGACAGCCTCTACGTAAAAGAATAAATGGACACAAATCAGATGTCAAGAATTATAACATTCATAAACCAGTCGGAGAACACTTCAATCTCTCTGGTCACGCAATCACAGACATGAAGGTCGCTATCTTAAAACAAAAAAACTTCAAATCCAGACTCCAGCAAGAAACTGCTGAATTGGAATTCATTTGCAAATTGGATACTATTAATTTAGGCTTAAATAGAGACTGGGAGTGGCTAAGTCATTATGCAAGGTAGCCTGTTTCCTCTTGTTTTTTCCTACCCTCCTCCCCAGATGTTCTGGTTTAACTTGGATTTAAACTTGGAGAGTGGTCAGTTTAGATGAGCTATTACCAGCAGGAGAGTGAGTTTGTGTTTGTATGGGGGTGGGGGGGATGTGAGAAAACCTGGATCTATGCAGGAAATAGCCCGACTTGATTATGTAAAGAGTTGTCACTTTGGATGGGCTAGCACCAGCAGGAGAGTGAATTTGTGTGGGGGGGTGGAGGGTGAGAAAACCTGGATTTGTGCTGGAAATGGCCCACCTGTTGATCACTTTAGATAAGCTATTACCAGCAGGACAGTGGGGTGGGAGGAGGTATTGTTTCATATTCTCTGTGTGTATATAAAGTCTGCTGCAGTTTCCACGGTATACATCTGATGAAGTGAGCTGTAGCTCACGAAAGCTCATGGTCAAATAAATTGGTTAGTCTCTAAGGTGCCACAAGTACTCCTTTTCTTTTTGCAAATAAAGACTAAGTTTCTTAAGGTGTTTGAAAGCTACTATGGTCTGGACAGGTACTCAGTGATATCAGGGTTGACTTTTCTGTTACTAAGTGGTGTGTTATGCCACACCAGAACAAGCTTACCATGCCAAATGAAAGAGCAGACAAATAAATGAGGTACAAGTGTGCTTGCTTACAGAAAAAAAGATAATGTGGTGTTTAAGAATAGAAGGCATACCTGTGTATAAATCAATTTATTAGAAACCCTTTAACACAGAACAAAATCAGTAAAATGTTATTATTAGGACAAGTATCCTAATGTGGAAAGGCTATAATTATTGTTGCCCTGACCTTTTTTTGCAGAAGGTTCTACTTATGGAATGGTTGCTGGAGTGAAACTAGGAGCCCAAGGAGGAGAAAAGGTTAATTTTCTATTAAAAACAGAAAAAATAATAAAATGAAAAAGGCTAAAAGATACCTAATACCCAAAAAAGTCTGAACTAAAGGCAATGTGCTTTATGTTCTGATTTTCAGTCATTCGTCAAATTGTAGTTTTTCTTCAAAACAAAACCTAAAAGGATACTATACTATTAAGACTCAGAAACCCAAGGTAACATGTTCTCCCAACTCACACTTTAAAAACAAAAAGCCTTACTTTAAACATCTATTCCTACTAGGGAAAAATTATCAGATCTTCAAAACAAGAAATGCAGTAGTCTTGAATTTGGAGCTTTTTGAAGACAAAGACATAAACAAATCTCATCTAGGAATCTGAAATGTCAACTTCTGTGCTGGGAACTGTCACATATAACGGTCTGTCAGATTCTACTGTAAATACAGAACTTCATACCCTGAAAATGGAAATTTGTTAATTTTTTTTTTTTTTTTGCTAAATGAGTGTCACCACTGGTCATTGTTTTCAAACTCGGGATGCATACCAAAGGTGAAGTTGCCATTTTTGAGAAGGACAGACATGCAAGTCAGATTTGGGCTGTAACACCCTGGATGATGTCTCTTTCAACAGAAACTCTATTAGACTAGTTTCAGAGTAGCAGCCATGTTAGTCTATATCCGCAAAAAGAAAAGGAGTACTTGTGGCACCTTCGAGACTAACAAATTTATTTGAGCATAAGCTTTCGTGAGTTACAGCTCACTTCATCGGATCCACTGCATGCATCCCATGAAGTGAGCTGTAGCTCATGAAAGCTTATGCTCAGATAAATTTGTTAGTCTCTAAGGTGCCACAAGTCCTCCTTTTCTTTCTATTAGACTACTTTCTCTTCACCTAACAAGCCTGAACAATTTTCTTCAGCACTATGAGAGCTGGTCTGCTGCTTTGCACAATAGTATAAATACCACACAGCGGAGAGTTTGTACTATCTTTCCTATGAAAATCAGTAAAAGACATCAAACAACATTGCACGTTCCTCTTTTAAAAGCACAGAACAGAGCAGGTGAAATATCACTGAACAGCCCACAAGCTTAAAATTGAAATCATCCTACATTAATCAGACACAAAGCAACTGGTTCTCTAGTGGCTGAAGCCTTTCCCCCTCTTAGCTTTCTCACTCCCATCTGAGTGTGATAAAGCAATGTTTTGTTGTTAGCGTACACAACTGATTTTCATGCTACCTGCCACACCCTTCCACCTCTGGAAGTCGCTAAGTGCCAAAACCAGTTGATTATCACGCAGTGACAACCACAAAACTGCACCCCAGAGGCTTCCTTCTAGGGCACGCGGTGCATTGACGCCAGAGATCTCATTCAGGGACAGAATTCTTCCATGTGCCCATCCACTGAGCCCTGCCCAAGGGGGAAACGTTCCTGGCCTTCTCACGCACTTCACCGGGTGCGCCCGGCCGGGAACCCACATCCACGCTGAGGAGGACTCGAGAGTCCGCCCCCACCCCCGGCCCCAAAAAACCCCAACACAACAACTCCGCCCCGCGGAGTGCGCGGGCAGCTCTCGCCCTTGAGGGGGGTATTTGCTGGTTCGTTGCTGGTGTGACACACGGGCGCACTGCCAGGGCTGGAGAAGCGCTGCCTCTCCCCCCCCCAGCACACACACGCACACACCCGGCCCGGGGGCGCTGGGCTCCAGGACCGCACCGTCCGCGGCGCCAGCTCGCCTCAGCGCAGCATCTCCAGGCGGGCGCTGTTCCCCGGCCCCCGGGCGGTGACCGAAGCCCCCCCCGCGCAGCCGGCTCACAGCGGGGATCGGGGTCTCTCCTCGGCCGCCCCCCGCGCAGCCCGCGCTCACCCAGAAGAGCGTGGAGTAGGTGATGAGGGTGAACTTGAGGCAGAGGTAGGAGAAGCGCGCACAGTAGCGGATGTTCTCGGAGTCCCCGGCCGCCATCCTGCTCCCCGGCCCGGCCCGGCCCGCTTCCTGCTTCTCCCGCCGCCACCTGCAGCGCAGCCCGCGAGCGGCACCCAGCCGGCGGCGGAGTCTCGCAGCCGCGGGCAGCACCACTGGGTGGCAGCGGCGCGGGAGCTGTCGCTCAGCTGGGGGCGGGAGGCGACCAGGGAGGGATGAGCGAGGGCCGCGGAGTTGGGGGGCGGGGGGTGTCGCTTGGCGGGGAGAATGCAGAATGTAGAGGGGACAGAAGCCTGCCCCGTACTTCAAACCATCCCTCCTACATGCAAGCTGGGAAAGCAAACGATTCGACCAGACAAGTCAGGCTCCCAGGGCTCTGACCACTGAGCCTTTCTGCTCCTAGTTGAGGAGTTACAGCTCGCGTCCTTCAAGAACTTAAAGATTCTAAGTCACGCTGTGTCTTCAGCCATGACCTGGAGTTTGACAGCATCCCTTCCCTGCCAAAGGAGCACAAATTTACACTGCCTCTAATTTCTTTGTGTCCCTGTTAGGAACATAATTATGACCACACTGGCTGTGTAGGGTTCCCTCACAGAGAGCCCCTTGGGACTGTCACCTGACCTGCTGAAAATGACCTCTGATCCTGTTTTCCCTGCCAGCTTGGGACTTCAGAGCCCTTTCTCCTGGAGCCAGACGGCCAGCCTGCTACAAACACAGACCCAGGGTCTGGACCAGGGCCCCCAAAGCCACAGGCTTTAAATGAAAACAGTTTAGCAGGTTAGCTGCCTCCAGCCCCCAGACACCCAGCTCCCAATAGGATCCAAACCCCAAATAAATCCATTTTACTCTATAAAGCTTATACAGGTAAATTCATAAATTGTCCATCCTCTACAATGCTGACAGAGAGATAGGCACAGCTGTTTGCTCCCCTGGGTATTAATCACTTACTCTGGGTTTATTAAATAGCAAAAGTGATTGTATTAAGTATAAAACCTAGGATTTAAGTGGTTTCAAGTAATAACAGACAGAACAAAGTAAGTCATCAAACAAAATAAAAAAAACATGCAAGTCTAAGCCTAATACATTAAGAAACTGATTACAGGTAATATCTCACCCTCAGAGATGTTCCAAAAAGCTACTTTCATAGACTAGACTCCTTCCTAGTCTGAACCCAATTCTTTCCCCTGGTACAGTCCTTGTTAGTTCCAGCAGACATCTTAGATGGTAAGCAGGGGATTTCTCATGACTGGCCTCCTTTTGTCCTGTTCCACCCTCTTTTATAGCTTTAGCACCAGGCAGGAATCTTTTGTCTTCGTGGGTCCCCACCCCTCCAAAATGGAAAAGTATCAGATTTAAGATGGATTCCAGTATCATGTGACATGGTCACATGTCCTGTGGGACCCCAGCCTCCATTCTTCCTGGGTTGGCCCACACATACACAGGAAGGTTTGCACATAAACAGAGCCATTCACTAAAAAGAAAAGGAGTACTTGTGGCACCTTAGAGACTAACCAATTTATTTGAGCATAAGCTTTCGTGAGCTACAACTCACTTCATCAGATGCATACTGTAGAAAATACAGAAGATATTTTTATACACACAGACCATGAAAAAATGGGTGTTTATCACTACAAAAGGTTTTCTCTCCTCCCACCCCACTCTCCTGCTGGTGATAGCTTATCTAAAGTGATCACTCTCCTTACAATGTGTATGATAATCAAGGTGGGCCATTTCCAGCACAAATCCAGGGTTTAACAAGAACGTCTGAGAAACAGCGGGGGGGGGGGGGGGAAGGAATAAACAAGGGGAAATAGGTTATTTTTTATAATGAATCAACCATTCCCAATCTCTATTCAAGCCTAAGTTAATTGTATCCAATTTGCAAATTAATTCCAATTCAGCAATCTCTCTTTGGAATCTGTTTCTGAAGTTTTTCTGTTGTAATATCGCAAGTTTCATGTCTGTAATCGCGTGACCAGGGAGATTGAAGTGTTCTCCGACTGGTTTATGAATGTTATAATTCTTGACATCTGATTTGTGTCCATTTATTCTTTTACGTAGAGGCTGTCCAGTTTGACCAATATACAAGGCAAAGGGGCATTGCTGGCACATGATGGCATATATCACATTGGCAGATGTGCAGGTGAATGAGCCTCTGATAGTGTGGCTGATGTTATTAGGCCCTGTGATGGTGTCCCCTGAATAGATATGTGGGCACTGTTGGCAACAGGGTTTGTTGCAAGGATAGGTTCCTGGGTTAGTGGCTCTGTTGTGTGGTATGTGGTTGCTGGTGAGTATTCGCTTCAGGTTGCGGGGCTGTCTGTAGGCAAGGACTGGCCTGTCTCCCAAGATTTGTGAGAGTGTTGGGTCGTCCTTCAGGATAGGTTGTAGATCCTTGAAAATGCGTTGGAGGGGTTTTAGTTGGGGGCTGAAGGTGACGGTTAGTGGCGTTCTGTTATTTTCTTTGTTAGGCCTGCCCTGTAGTAGGTGACTGGGAATGGTTGATTCATTATAAAAAGTAACCTATTTCCCCTTGTTTATTCCTCCCACCCCCATTCCTCAGACGTTCTTGTTAAACCCTGGATTTGTGCTGGAAATGGCCCACCTTCATTATCATACACATTGTAAGGAGAGTGATCACTTTAGATAAGCTATTACCAGCAGGAGAGAAGGGTGGGGGGAGAAAAAACCTTTTGTAGTAAAAAACACCCATTTTTTCATGGTCTGTGTGTATAAAAATATCTTCTGTATTTTCCACAGTATGCATCTGATGAAGTGAGCTGTAGCTCACGGAAGTTTATGCCCAGATAAATTGGTTAGTCTCTAAGGTGCCACAAGTACTCCCTTTCTTTTTGCGAATACAGACTAACACGGCTGTTACTCTGAAAAGAGCCATTCACTGTTCATTGATTTTGAAGCACCCTTAATGGCTTCCACTTAATACGTTTACATCAGTAATAAAAGTTTATATCTTATTCTCCTAACTCCAGACATAGAAATAATACGTGCAAACAAATAGGATGAACACACTCAGTAGATCATAAGCTTTGTAATGATACCTTACAAGAGACCTTTTGCATAAAGCATATTCCAGTTGCATTATATTCACATTCATAAACATTTTCATAAAGCATATGGAGTGCAACATCACACTGGGTCAGACCAAAGGTCAATCTAGCCCAGTATCCCGCATTCTGACAGTGGCCAATGCCAGGTTCCCCAGAGGGAATGAACAGAATGGAATCATCAAGTGATCCATCCCCTGTCGCCCATTCCCAGCTTCTGGCAAACAGAGATTAGGGACACCATCCGTGCCCATCCTGGCTAATAGCCATTGATGGACCTATCCTCTGCTGGAATACTCACCTTACCCAACCAAAGCTTCCACTTATTTCTTCTGAGCATTCATCACTCTGGGTAATGGGAGTTTTACATCTCCATATTCTGCACACAGGAACTTTGGTGCATGCAATGCTGCATACATAGGGTTGCCAACCCTCCAGGATTGTCCTGGAGTCTCCAGGAATTAAAAATTAATCTTTAATTTAAAAAAAGAACAGAAGTACTTGTGGCACCTTAGAGACTAACAAATTTATTAGAGCATAAGCTTTCATGGGCTACAGCCCACTTCATCGGATGCATAGAATGGAACATATAGTAAGAAGATATACATATATACATACAGGAAGGTGGAAGTTGCCATACAAACTGTAAGAGGCTAATTAATTAAGATGAGCTATTATCTGCAGGAGAAAAAAACTTTTGTAGTGATAATCAAGATGGCAGGCACTCCTGTTCTTTTTGCGGATACAGACTAACATGGCTGCTACTCTGAAACCTATCTTTAATTAAAGATAATGTCATGTGATGAAACCTCGAGAAATTTGTATAACCAAAGATGGTAACCCTATTCATCCACAAAGCTATAGGTTGAGTTGAAGTCACAGGAAACTTGGCCCACTGTTATTGTTTTCTTAATCCCCTACTGTTCCATTTAGTTATTCTTTATAAAATATTTGAACATATAAAGTCCTACATATGTGCTAAATATTCTTATTCCTAAGAAATTTATCAGCGTTTTAAAACAAAACTGGAAAACAAAAGAAAACAAAGCTTCTCAGCTGAGCAGCCCAACAATAACAATTATTTCCAGTCATGGGTACACGAATACACAAACTGCATTATTCCTCCATTTTGCCAGCTTTCTCCATTCTCCAAAGCAAACAGAATATTACTATTTACAAGAATCCTGTTCTCAAATATAAAGCTGACTATCCAAATATTAAGCCTAAAAGACATAACAACAACAACAACTGAGTTGGTTGGAGAAACTTCAGCAGAACCATATTCTGTCAGAATATGCAGGTCTGTCTAAATCAAAATGCTTTGTGAAATTGACCTAATTTTGCTGTAATTTCATTTCAGAAGAAACAAGCAAAAAAAAATAGTTCCAACCGTGTTGAAACATCTCAACTTGACATTTTTGTGCATTAAATACTTTGATATTTTGTTTTGAAACAACTTTTCAAATTTTTTATCTTGTATAAATAATATTATGTAAAAAAGTCAAACTCGAAATGAAACTTGTTAAAACAAAACATATTGTTTGACCTGAAACAAATTTTTTTTTCAGAATTTCCTTCAGGAAATCTCAAACTTTTTGGTTTTCATTCCAATTCAGAACCAAGCCAGATTTCAAAGTGTCAAAATCCATCACGAATTAGAACGTGCATCATCCACAGAGCTTTAGTAACTATACAGCAGTGTTTCACATGTTTAGCAATATATCCTGTGCAGTTGACAATTAGCTGTTTTAAGACACTGTCAACAAAAATATTTAAGGCCAAATTTTCAGCTATACGCTCTGCTTTTCCCACCAAAAATATATATATTAATGTTTGCACCTAAAACCTACATACACAAACACAGGTACATATCCAATTTAGTGAATATAAACATTTAGAACATAAATGTATTTTTGTGATCTAAAAATTATGGGTCAGCTTGAGGTTAACTGAACATGGCACCACATATTTAAATCTTGTAAGCACAAGAAATTTGCTTTAATGGTACCACTCAGTGCATAATGCTAAGCATATACTTAAGTCTTTGTAAAATAGGAAAAACTTTGATTGTAAGTTCTTTGGAGGAGAGACTGT